AGTGTACGAAGTGAAATAAAAATCTATGAAATGCATACTATAATACTATAGACTTTTATTTTGATTTTTCAGGTTCAAAATTCGTGGGCTTAGCAGGTAATACATTTTTTATTGCAGAGCAATAGTTCTTTGAATCTATCTTGCATTTTTGCTATAACTTTATCTCTTTTTGCAAATCTAGTAGAGTATCAAACCTTAGCTGAATTGCAAGTGAATCATCCTCATGTCTATCTAGATCAAATACAATAAATTCGCCTTTGTGTAAGTAGCTATTAATAACCATTGATACATTTTTTACATCATCTGTATATCTATGAATAATTTTAGAAACAACTTTATATGAACTACTAGAATTAAAAAGTACTAAGTAATTAGCATTTTCATGCATAAATGTAGTAATTTTATGATATTTCTGTACCACAAATATACATAAAATATTTCGATATTACCTATTTCCAAAAAATTGGCCAATTCGATTCTGTATATGTTCTGAAGTGAGACACAAATCCTCAAAAACAATTGCTATACTTTGTTTAAGTGAAAATACTTTTACACTAGAGATTTTTTTTGGTGATATATAGCTAAATTATATATTTTTATAGTAAGATACTTTTGGGTTTTTTGAAATTATGCTATATATATATCTAACGAATGCCCATTTTGGCTCATCAGGATAATAACTACAAACTATTAAATTATTACAAGAAATATATCTTCTATCATTTTTTTTTCTTTTATATATGTATTCAGCTTTATTACCAAGAAAAAGATTTGTTAAGATATTAGTCTTATCTGATCCACTTTTTCCTGTAACTATTATTTTAAAGAGCCATGTTGGACTAGCTGGATGAGATTGACAACGAGATACAACATGTTTATTAGCTTTGTTCATATCCATAAGGAATAGTTTCATAGAAGATATTTTTGAATTTTTTTGCATAGCAGATTGGGAATCTATAACTCTGTTTTTTATATACTGGATAAAAATTTTCTTCCTTTTTTGTTGGACAAAAAATATTCCTGTATATATACCAAATAATTAGTATTGTTATTATAACAAGAACAACAAGTTTAACAATAGAGGAAATCTGATACTTATAATTAACCAAAGCTTTGCCAGCACCTAATATCACAACAGGTAATACTTCAATCTCTCTTATTAGTATATTATTATTCTTTATCTTAGATATAATATACTCTGAACTTATTTTGGAAGAAATGTTACTTCGTACCTGCTCATTATTTATCCACTTCTCATTAGAGATTTCTGATTCTTTAGGCATATTATCATTTAAACTAGTTAAAGTTTGTTGAATCAAAGATTCTTGAATATCTCTATCTACTTGACTATTCTTTGTCTTAGGCTTATATACAAAATATTTTGCAAGAGATAAAGAGTTCAGATCCTTTGGCGAAGACTATATAACTGATATATTATCATCATTTTTTTCATTTGTCTTACCTCTGATCTTGACTTGTTCTGATAATAATCTATTGCAGGGCAATAGCTCTTTGAGTCTAGTTTCTAAGGAGTGTATCTTTGAATTTTTTTCAGCCAAATCATTTTTTATTAGTTCTAATTCGCTATTTTTTAAAGTTAACATATTCTTCATGTGCTCTAATTTACTATTTTTTAAAGCTAAATTAGAATTCAAGGCAGATAATTTGACTCTAAAATAATCAATCTCAGATTCTTTCATAGATGAGTCCTTTTGGATTGAAGATAGTCTCATCTCTAATGCTTTTATTTTAGACTGAAGAGCCTTCATCTCTTTTAGTTTTGTACGAATCTTGTCTTTATATTCATTAAGAGAAATATTCTTGCAAGTAATCTGGGATGTTAAAGTATCTAACTCTGAGTGCAATCGCTTAATCTCATCTATAAGTTGGTAGATATGCTTGGAAAGTTTCTCTTTATCTTTATTAGATCGATTTAGATTCTGTTGTATGTGCTTATTGTCTTTATCCAAGACAGAGCATTTATTAGTAAGTCAATTGCCACACTCTATAGCAATTTCTCGATCTTGATTTGCGCAAGCAAGCTGATTTTCAAGTTCTGTTCAGCTAGGTGGGTATCAATTAGATGAAATACTCCTGAGTTTATTGCCAGATACCAGAGCTATCTTAGCATTTATCTTATTCAGCATATGCAGATTTGCTATATAAATTTACTTGAAGGTAGATATATTTTTTTTTCTTAGTAATTTTCTGAGATGGTATCAGAAATTTTTTGGCAAAAGTGGTTGGTGTAAATTATTTATATATATATATTTTTTTTCAAATGTGAAAAAAGAGAACCAGAATCAAACCGATATCAAACTAATAATAAATTAGTTTAAAACAAATATGATATTTAAACTATATATATCTCAACCCCATTTGGATCATAATTATAGCAAGCTACATGATAAAGGAAACAAATTTTCTTTATATTTCAAACTAATATCAAACCAATATCAAACCAATGCCAAATAGATTGCGAATAAATTTTTTATAAGTTTTTTATTGGTATCATATAAATTTATTATTAACAAATTATGAGTAAAAAACTATCAACCCATACTCATAAATTTCTTAGATTAGATGCCACCCACTTGTTACCTGAAGCCATTGAAGAAATCAGAAATGCTCAGAATAATATTTCAAATACTTAACATATTATATATAAAAAACATCATATAGGGGCAATGATATATCAAAAAATCATTAATAATTAAAGGTTTTCTGAACCGACTGAGGAGTGGCATAAAATCTTAGAATCTGTTAGCATCTCTGATCAGATTTCAGAAAATAACTAGGAATCTTTATAGCTGGTAAGTACTAAGTATGATACCTCTTTTACTAATATACAAAAAGATGAGGTCATTCATATAGAGCATCCTAGAGATGATAAAGATGGTGCAAATTCTCATATAAGGCTGAATACAGTAACTAGTGAATGAAAAGATAAGGTTAGTCGAAAACAAAAGATTAGTATGAAGGCAAAGAGTGAATCTTCTCTAGTAGAAAAAAATAGAATAACTAATTCTTCTAAAGATGATACATCTAAATAGGAATCTAATCTTGAAAAATTAATGAATAATACTAAAAGATTAGCTTTTATTCTTCCATCTTTGTCTTAGTAAGTTGAGATTATCTTTCTGCAAGAACTTTACCTGCATTTAGAGCCATATCAAGCCACTCTTCAGTTTTTATGAGTTGCTTTTCAAGCTCTTTGCACTTTTTTTTAAATCATTCTCACTAGTCAGGCTAGAGAAAATTTGGGCTAAATCATGTAGAGAGGATTCTTAAGGGACTATCTTCAGCTCCTCTTTTGGCAGTTCCTTAGCTTATAGAGCCTTGCTATATGTTGGGATAGTGTAAGTCTTTCTATGTAGCTTCATTTGGAATTGATTTTTATTTGAATCAATAATACCTTGAACTTTTCAAATATATGTCATACCCAAACATAGTATTGGTTTGGGCTCACTATTATCAATATATGCAAAATTCTCTGATACTGTAACTATTTTTTCTGCCTTATCTTTTATAAAGATTGGAACATTCTAATAATTTAGTAATATATTTCAAATTGTCACTCTTTATAACAAAATCAGATTCTTTATTATTTTTCCACTCAAGTGCTTCGATAGTTGTATTATTAATAGTGTTGAATTTGCTAGCCAGATCTAAAAAACTATTAGAGATTGTTAAATCATTTATATTGCTATGCAGATACTGTATTGATGAGAACCACTCATTGGTTTCTTTCTAAACTTTATAATACTGGTTAAATTTATATATTCTTTGCATTGCTGGTAATAACGAATTCATTAGTTGATTATAAGTTTTTGGTATTATATCTTTTATAGTAAGTGCACTTTGTGTATTAATATGTGACTTATTATTTACTAGTAATAACTGTTTTCTTTTTTCTAACTAAGATGGAGCATGCTATATATTATCTTTCTTGTTATATCCACCTTCACCATCCTTAATATCATCTGAATCGGGAGATGCACATTGGGGTTGGGAAGGTATTAGAGGAGGAAAGTATCGATGTGTTGAATTTGATTTAGCTACAGGTTTTTTGGATTGATTATCAAGTATCATCCTTCCAAATTGAGATGTTATTTGACTGATTTCATCTACTTTCGATTCTATTCTATCTATTCTCGCAGATTGGTTTTGTTGCTAAGGGCAAGGTCTTTGAAAAAGTTTTATAGGATAATTTCTCTCTAAATCTTCTGTACTAAATATATCTAAATTATTTAAGAATTGTGATAAGCAATAATTTCCTATATTTTCTTCTGTTTGTAATGAAGATGGTAAACCTCTTGGCTGTCTAACTGGTTCAACAGTTTGAGAAGCAGTTTGCTTAGCTATTTGAGATTCTAATTCTGTAACTTTCTTTACTAATGTCTGGTTTTCAGTTTTTTGTTGTGCTAGTGTATTCTGGATTGCTTTTTGTATATCTTCTAAAGAAATTCCTTGCTATTAAAGAGCTGGGGTAATTAGTAGTAAAGAATAAGATACTGGATTTATATTAGGTAAGGCTTGGACTTGATTGGCAATTTGATTTGATTCCTTTGAGATTCTTCTACTCAAATTTTGCCCATGCTCTAGCCACATATTTTTTAGTTCAGTAAAAAATACATTAATGCCTGCAGGATTAACAATTCTCATCCAAGTATAAAAATTACCTGTTAAATGACTTTTAAGAAATCCTAAAACTTGTGTATCATTGTCTGCTACTCCTAATAATAGTGATCGAATTCTGGCTTTATAGGTATCAGGAGTATCATAGAGCTAATATCTTTTTTGAGTCAATCTTTGAATAGCCGATTGTTGATTTCTAACAGTTTCTTGCTGATATTTTGCTCTCATCCAAGTCTGTAATGTATCTGGAGAATTTATAGCTGGATTTCCTACTACAAGATTATTATTTGCTGATACTGGAACATATTTTCTACCCATCATAGATTTTAAAATATTATACTTGATCGTATTGTTAAAATCTTCTACATTTGTATTCTTAAGAACCATCATATACGCTTCAAGATATGCCCATAATTGAATAACTTTATTCAAGTAATCATCAGGTGGTTTTTGGCCCGTATAAGGTGGAAATTTTGAAAGAGCAGGAGCCATTAATTTTAATACCAGTAAATGTCTAGCATCAGCCATGTTTATTTGATTTGGTGGATTATTGTAAAGTATTAAAATTTGTTGATTTAAAATTAAAATATTCTGGTGCTCTGCATGAGTCTTATTTTTCCACTTCTTATATCATTCATATAACCTATCTCGATTATATTTTAACAAACCTCTATTGGCTCTGCATCATTGTAGGTGGTAGGTATTTCATTGATATAAAATTTGTAAAGCAAATTTTTCCTGTAGTAATACACCAATACAGGTTCGCTTTCCTGTTATATTGTCTAACATTCTCTTTACTTGATTTTGAGCATTAGTTCACAACTGCTGAAGATCAAGCAATGCCTGATCTCGCTTCTGTCTGTATGTATCGCAATCTCATCTTATGTTTACCAGATCTTGTTGCAGGTTAGTGTATTTATGTCAAATTGATCTTGTTGATTTTTTAATTTGATTTGATAAAATAGTTTTACATATTGTTGTATTATCTAGGGATTAGTTTATAGCATCAGCCAATTCAGTTATTGTACTCATATTATCAGAATTATACAAGTCTAGAAAATTTTCATCAGAATCAAATTTATTTTTACCAAAATTCCATGCCTGTGCATTTTGTAAAGCCTCTTGTGTATTTCTAAGCTCTAATCTATCTCGATATCTTAATAATAATAATGCAAAATTTTGATAAAGCAGGTCTATAATACGATTTTTTTGTTGATTTATTTTATTAATCCTATTTATTTGATTAACTCTTATTGTATTTATTTCTCATTTAAGGCATTCATTTTCATCTACTAATCTGGTTGTATAATCTTGTGCTTTAGGTGTATTTCTAGCTGATTTTGATATTTCTTATATTCTGGTTTTTAATTTTGTTTTACATTCATCGAATTCTGATATTAATTTATTCTTATTTGAAATTTCCTTGTCTTTTTTTTTATTTTTTTCTTTGAGCTGATAAATGATTCTTTTTAGTTTTGAGATTTCTTCTAACAATTCTTTTTTGTCTTGTATAGATAGTTCGATAGTATTATTTAACTCTTCTTCAAGAAACTATATTCTTTCCTCCTATATGCTAATAATTCTTTCTAAGGTATATAGACACTGTTCGAAATTCCTATTTGATTCCGCTAATTGTGATATTATCTCATAGAGTTCTTGGTTAGTTTGCGTAACTCATTTATTGTTTTTTTATTGACTATAATGCTATCCACTCACAAGTTCGTGCCCAAATATATATTGTTACCTATTTTTTATTATACTATATAAGCCTGACAATAAGAAAAACGAATTGGTGGGAAATGGAGAAACTTGTGATTTATATTGACCCACAGAAGGCCTGTGATTTGGATAGAGAGATCATTTTGCAAAAACTATATTATAAGCCTAAAAGTTATTATCAAACTGCTAAAAAAATGCAAGATGCTTGTAAGAAGGCAAAATATAAGTTTACTTTGGCTATAATAAAAAATTGGCTTAACAAACAGGCCTTATATCAGATCTATAAGCCTCAACCAAAATTTATCCAATATGCTTCTTTTAACAATATACAAATATTAAATAAAGTACACCAGTCTGATACTATATCTATACCTTACGATAAAGTTGACAATTAAACTTATAAATACTGAGGAGTGATAAAGAATATTGCAACTAGATATCGGTGCAGTTTCGCTTTAACTGATAAAACAGCTATGCAAATGGCTAAAGAGATTCAGAAAATTTATGATGATTCAAATTGCTCACTTAGCTGGCCAAAAGTTTTAATTGTAGATAAAGGAACTGAATATATGAGTAAGTGTAAGGATTTATTTCTCAGACATGGCATAAGAATTCAGTATGCTAAATCTAAACAAAGTGTGGCTATCGCCGAGCGAGATCACCAAGAATTTGAAAAGCATGCTTTTTTTCACCAAGATGCTATAGATTTACATTTACTATTAACTAATAGATCTAGAAAGTGTGTTGTTAGCCTTCACATTAATGATGATAAATATAATAATTCCCCTATGAAGTTAATATACATATCGCCCAATGAAGCTGTAAAAAAATCATTAAAAGGTAAGAAAATCTTTGAGATCCAGCTGTCAAGCACAAAAGGTCTATAGGTTATGATGAACCCCTCCTATCATCTGATATTAAAGTTCGGCATCTATTAGAACCTGGTAAACTAGAAGGCTGGAGAAGGAGGGCTACTGATTGTAACTAGTCTCCTGAAATTTTTTTAATCGAATCATTTTCAAGAAAAAATAACCAGTTAGTTCTCTACAAGCTATATAATAGTCTGAGATGCCCATTTGTAAGAGAAAAACTTCAAATTGTAAAGGATATGCATTTACCTCCTAGGTGGGTATTGGGAAGAAACCAAATATATTCAAGACACTCTTGATGAAAGTTGGCAGATCAACAACACAACAAGGAATTGTGATAAAAATTATACCTTCTTTAAAACAGAGTGCTCTCTTCTTCCAATCATGTTGAATTTGTACATCTAAATTAATTTGTCCTTGTAGATGGAAAAAGGAACAATTTGATAATACTGATTATCACTGTATTTGAAGGCCAAATATAATTCCTTATTATATTCATCAAGTTATAAGCCTTCTAAAAATTTGGATTTTTGAGATGGAAATTTTTTATGTAATAATTTTTTGAATATATATCAATATAATCTTTCAAATATATGAAGATAACTATTGTACTACCTATAATTTCGTTTCATATCTCTATAGGATGCTTCCTATCAATAATGATTTTTACAAATCCATAAATAAATATTAGGGCTTGATCTAACTTTAGCCAAGCATTGTCCTTCACATCTTTTGGCATAGGTAAGAGCTTTAGTATCAATCTTATTATAATCTTGCATTTTTATAATATTAGAATTTAACTTGAATATTTTAGTTAATTATACTCTGGAAGTATTACTTTTTTTTGAACTTGAGAGAAAAAAAGAAAAAAGAGCACGAGAGTATGGACAAGATTGCTTTCCTGAAATATAAGCGAAATTTCGAGGCTAAAATGAAGGTGCCTACTACTCCATACAAAAAAGAATTAAAAACCTGCTCTTTGGCCCTTATTGAATATGCATAGTGTTTTGAACCGTCAACTGAAAGTTCAACCGGGGCTAATCTGGGTAGACTTCCGGGTATTCTCAGCCAATCGCTGATGTTTGTTTACATCAGGTAAAATAGGATTGATGCGTCCTATTTTACCCGATGTAAACAAACATCAGCGATTGGCTGGAAATACCCAGAAGTCTACCCGGATCAGCCCCGGTTAAACTTTCGGTTGACGGTTCAAAATACTAAATATGCATAACTGTTGTTTAAAATAATACAATCTAGTTAAGTAGTAATTTTTGGAGCAAAAAGATTGCTATATTCAGCTAGTTATATATCCGGATAAAGAGATTTATATCACTTTTACAATAAGCATAAGAAAAAATTCAAATAAAAAATTAATATTCTAATATCTGGATCATATAAAGAGTTTTTGTATCGTGTAATTTTGGATGATAAGATTTAGATGATAAAAGAGGTTTCTGGGTTACGGTAGCAATCGCTGTCATCCGATTTGCATACCTGCCTGCCAGATCAAAATGAAATTTTGGTAAGTGTTTCCAGCATATGGATTAAGGTATGTATTTGATAACCATTTTTGTATTATATAATTTCAATCAGGATATAGTTTAGAATAAGTGGTATGCTTTAAGTAGTACTAGTAGAGACAACTTATACCGAAAAATATTGACCACCAAAGATTTTTTAGTTTGAATAATATTTTGAGTAAAAAAAAGTGGCCCACAAAGGAATAATTATTTCAGATATATATAAAATAAAATTGTACTTTAATAGACCACCAGGTAAGGATAACAATTTGGCACTACATGCCTCATTCTTGATTAATAATCGAGTGTATTATATAAGTATTATTTCGAATAAAAAAAGTGGCCCACAAAAGTAAAATTATTACAGATATATATAAAATAAAATTATGCTTTTGTGGGCCACCAGGTAAGGATAACCATTTAGTACTACGTGCTTTATCCTTGAGCGATAAAATCACATGTCACCTGATGATCAGACTATAAACATCTTATCTTTGATAAGGAAAATGCAAAATGTACATCACTCGAATGATGACAGATATATTATTCTGTTGTCACTCAAATGATAATGCAAGCATGAATCATTCATTACTTGAATGATGGAGTGAATACTAATATATCTCTGATAACACAAGCATGAATTGTTTATTACTCAAATGACAATGCAAGCATGAATTGTTTGTCACTTAAATGATAAAGTGAATACTAATATATCTCTGATGACGCAAGCACGAATTGTTCATTACTCGAATGATGACACAAGCTTAATAGAGATCAAAATGAGTAGTTATAAAACAAGTAGGTAACAATATATTCATAAATAGATAACAATATACTTATAAGTAGGTAACAACCTAATGTAAGTAGGCAGCAATATATATATATTGCTGCCTACTTCTTTATATTTCTCATAGGTGTAAAAAAGCTTTTTTTTTTTTTACAAAATCTAATAAGCCCCGCAATAAATATATCGTATTTATATATGTGTTATATTATTTTTTCTTTTCTAATATCTAAAATTTTATTTATTTATTATTTATTTTATTTTATTTTATTATTTTATTTTATTTATCTTTTTTTTTATTTTATTTTTTTTTGCTAAACCAAGCAACTTTTTTCTCCCTAACATGTCAAACTACAAAGTTTATACCAACTTCTAGATTAATGCCTTGTCTGAATCTGAACGAGACTTCAATCTGTATAGAGATAAGCAAGACATTTCTAGAATAAATCTTGTGAAAATGGTAATTACTAATAGCATCAATGGTAGTAACTTTAATGTTTCTGCAGAACTTCGCATTGTTATTAATGCTATTAACACTGAAATATGCGTCGATGATTTGAAGTATAAAATCAAAAATCTTGACTATTCTGAAAAAATTTGGAATTTTGATAACCAAAACATGCTAGCGCATATTGT